TGTTGGGAGCTGCCCCCTCCACGACCTAAAAGTAGTGCGCTCTACCCTGGAGTTGCCACCTTATCAACCCTCTTGAAGGGTGGGTGGTAACTCAGAGCATGCCTTTCCTAAAGTGGCGATCGCCTGCCTCTCATATTTTCCATCTAAAACCTTTTCTCAGTCACCTTCCCGTCGCTTTTTATCCCTTTTTTCTACAGATTTCTTGTTTCCTCTACTTTTAATTTTCTGTGTAACATGCACTCTATCCACGTGAAGCCCATGAACCGGACTCTACTTCTTTCTTTACTCTCCAGATGCCAGCAGATTCTGGAGAACCACACGGAGGACATCGGTGGACGGCCCACCAACACCACTGATTCCAACAGCACAGTGAGTCCTGACCTCAGCAGGAGTGGAGTGTCCACCAGCTCCAGGGAGACGTACGACAACGCTTACTTTTATATCATGGTCGTCATGTTCTTCTACACCTTCCTGGCTATGTCGCTTTTTAAATGCTTCGTAAGCAGCGACGAAGATAAAAAGGACCCCTATGAGGAGTTCATAAACACAGACCAGTCATCGAGACAGAAATTCAATGCAGAGAAGTTTGACTTTGAAGACGAGAGTAGCCTGTGAGCCACACACTCCCTGAAGAAGGAGGGAATGCATTGGTGGAGATGTTTTGACAGTCACCAAGCCAGAAAAAAAATCGAGACCTGTTAGTGATTTTGGACAAACCTGTAGTGAGTTCAATTTCCCCTCACCCTCCCAATCCAATCTGACGATCAGAAACCTCAAGCGAGCACGTCAGCTGGCCAGCAGCAGAAAACGGCTGCCTCTGATGAGCTGAGAGATGGGTGGAGAAATGTGGGTCAGTGGCAGGCCGGAATCTCCTCCTGTGCGGCCCAATCAGGATCAATAACAACAGGCCTTGGACATGCACACAAACCATGGGGAACCAGGGAAACCTCAACAAACTGACTGAGTAGACCATGGTGAGGACAAGACTGGAGAGAATAGGAGGCAGAGAGTGAGGGAGAGAGAAATTGAATTATAACAACACATTATCTCCAGAAAAGTTAGTACACTTACTAAATGTGTGAGTAAGACTGTAAAAATGGGTCGTATCAGATCCCTTTGTGATGAACTTCATAAGACATATGACAAATTAAACATACGCCGTTTTCAGATTAGTACTCATTTTATAATGTAACATTTATAATATGTAGCAAACATTGAATAAAAAAACTAGCAGTGTTATTATCATGTGTGAGTAATGCACTTATGCTCTTATTATGAAGTCATTAGGTTCATTCCGTATAAATCCTTTGTTTGTTAGACTTATAGTGTCCACAATTGAATCCTGTCTCCCACGATCTGACCTAGGAGAATCGGCCTATTTTCCCTTTTTTTCTTCTTCTGTGAAACGTGAGCGTCGCGACTGTAGTCTTAGCACAACTAAACATTTGCACTTCTAGAAATTGTAGCTTTTCTTGAATAATTTGCTTTGTACATCAATTAAAAAAAATTAACAGAAGCGGAATTTGATATGGCGTCATTTAAAATAATGTAAACATTTAAAGAATCATATTAATAATATAATATAATAATAATAATTAGCTGCAATGGAGCAAATGCGAATCCGCATGATGTTTCAGTAATAAAACAAATTTACATCCCACTCTCAAATTGGCTCCTAATTAGAGCCGAGGCTCCATGCAATAGCGACATTCCTTTGCCATTACACAGTAACTGATCTTCGGAGACGACGCTTCAACCTCGTTGTGACCCCGTATGATATAACTCTACAAAGCTGTGCAGAAACGTGAACCCTCGCTGTGTAGAATTAACTTCAATTGCGCAGCGGGATCGAGGAGACGAGCTCTCGGGGAACACACGCTTCTGATTTGCACCTCGCTCCTCCGCTGGAGTTACCTTTACGCACAACGCGCACAAGTGGAGACAGGACATGCAGTATATACATGACCCGCAGCAGATCTGGTACAGTACCTGGTCCAACACGTGGATGTCGCGCAAGCGCGCAGAATGCACAAAACAGAAACGTTACGTCTTTTGCTTTTAAGTATTTGTGCAATTAAATCTCCGGGGTTAAAGGTCGACCTGGACTGACAATGCTGCTCTAATTTGAACTATCCGCTCCTCGCGGTTATACCGGCCCCTCAGGCCACGCGTGGATCTGTTTCCTCTTCTTCTCTCATAATTAAATTTTTTGTCTCATCCTCCTCCATTGAAGTGCTGGGGTCACCACTTTTTGTGGAGCCGAAGCTGAATAAAACTGCACTGATGTTTTTTTTTGACCAGCCTGCCCTGCGGCACTGAAATATGTACAACTGACTGAGTAGATGAATAAATGCAGAAATACAGAAATAAAAACTCAAACACATAGAGATTAGCCCCACATTCAACAACAACAACAATAATAATAATACTAATACTAATAGGTTTGCTAAAATAAAATAGGAAATATTTAGTGAAAATATTTGTGTTGGCACGTTTTAAATTAAACAAGCATGACATTTAAGTAAAGAATGATTACACAGGTTAGTGAATATTTAACTTCACAGTAAATGTGTATGTGTAATTTTAAAAAACAAAGAAAAATAATTGTCATTTATTATTGTGATTACGTGTCACTGGTACAACTGAAGGCAGATTTAGAAGTCCATAAGCAGTGAATGACATACCATGCTTTATCTTTTTTTTGTAAATTAGCTATTTAAACATAAAGATACCTGTTGCTTTTATAACAGTGTACTTATGTGAGTTACTACTTAAGTTTTTGAGTTAGTGTTAATAACAATAATAATAGTTATATTTTATTGAGAATTCACCACAGTGAGTAGGCCCTCTCTGCCTGTTTTTATAGTTATATTACATACTTCTGCGGTTTAAGTATGTGTTGAGGTCTGTGATGTTCTTTTACAAGTAAGTTAAGGTGAGTGAGCTTTGACAACGGCAAGGAGGTTCACCACCATATGTTTCTTTATTCTAAACAGTCTGAACTTAATTTTATTTTTTAAACATGACTTAACTGAGGTACTCTGAGTAAATCAACAAAGTCAGTTTCATTATTCTGTCAGAATCTTTTTTTGCAAGGATATTTGAAGTCCAGCTATTATATTTCCACATTCGTATTATCTGCTTTCTGCCAAATGGCCGTTGGTCAAAATAAGAGGACCTTTACGTTTCACATCACATAAACTGTATAAAAACATAGTATGATGAACAATGATTAATATTTAAGGTTTTAGTTATTGTTGTCATCTCCTTGTTAGTATCCCCGCCTGTCACGCGACGGGGAGGGAATAAATGTAACTTTAAATAAATTAATCACCTATCTCATGTACAATATATGTGTTCGACTATAGTTGATGGTAATCATATAAGGTCAGACGTTGGCTCAACGTTGAATAAAAAACAAATTCAAATACAAAGAAGAAAAGCAAGTTTATAAGTTATAAAGGTAAAACAAAAGGTGGAGGTGTATATTATTCTGTGTATTATACTAGCGTGTACAACTCCCTTACCACCGGTGATTATGGCGAAGCTATTTAGAATTTGTAGATCTGCTACCCTCTACTGACGTCTTGCAGCATTACAGGAAAACAGACATTTGATTGACGTGTGCACTACTTGTGCAATACTTTTTTTGTCTGTCTGTCTGTCTCTTTAAATTATCAGATGGACCCTGTAGCAGTTTATTGTAATTAAAGCATCCCCACGCGGTGAAGCAAAGGCCCACATTAAATACCAACAGATATTAAAGTGAAATAAATGCGCTGTGTTATTGCTTCCGCCTGCACGGAGACGGATATTTAAATTGTTTGTAATTTGTTTTGTTGTTGAAACATTTATTGGGTTAGCGTTTTCAAAAGACTGCTGCAGAGCTGCATCCGAGAATTAATTTATCCTCATTTAGTTTCCAGCTGTGCAGCAGAATGAGTCATCAAATGTAATGGTTTTTATTGCAGCTGAGGCTTAAATGCGGATTGTTATTCTTTCTACCATAAACTCAGATAGATACACCATGATTTTTTTTTAAATTATAGACCAGAATTGGAGTGTGGTTACTTTCAACAGTAGAATATTCTATAATAAAACGAGAAAAAACCCGGAAGTGACGTCAACCACCCTGCGTTCGTTTTGTTTGGGCTCAGGAAAGCGTGCGGCATGGTGCACACAATTAATAAAAAAAGTTTGTCAAAATACTGTCCTGCACTTACTCTACGCGCAGAGGATCAAATGCCAAAGCCCAACTGGACAGTTGCTGTGGAGGAAGCGTTAGCATGCATGGTCATTTATGAGCGAATGTAAGTAATTCTTCATCAGCAGAAATTAACAGAAAAACAATGAGTTAACAAGTCAATCAACGTTCATGCACGGGACGTTTTTAAATGGCAAAGGAACCACGAAAGTTAACCAGAACTATTTAAAGTGAATTTAAATACATATAAATTAAATGACATAAACAATTCTTACTTATTTGTGCAGGTATTAAAATACAAAGTTAAAGACAGCTCTTTCTGGCTGTCATTTTTGTCATGTTGTCTTTTGTTATGTTTGTAATGTTTTAACATTATGTCAAATACTTGGTGAATAATTTAATCATAAAATGTCTTTTTATCTACCTGAAATGTTTTGCAGCAATTAGACATTTATCCTTCTGGATGATCTACAGTAAACAAAGAAGATACGAAGGTAAGAAAGCCATGGTTGTCTTTATTATTTTTATTTTCTGAGCTCCCTTCAATGGACTTAAGCCTGGTGACTTGTACCAAACATTAAAAAACACAGGAATAATGAAAATTTGTGGTCTGAAAGTTGCCGAAACACAACAAAAAGAAGCTTAACTTTACCATACAGTATTTCTATAAATATGATTAAAAAAGACATATATTCTGCATTTCATATATTTGACAAACAAAGACTATTTCCAAATAGTAATGCTTATTTTTTTTGTCATGTATACTTTGTACTGTGTAGCCCAAACAGTGAGGAACTGCCTGATGGTTGTTTTTAATGTTAAGTGCTGCTTTTACTCCACCTTGTGGTAAATGCATGATTATAATCATAATTAAAGTTAAGTTATAATTAGTAAAGGCCTTAAAAACATATACAGAATATACATATATGACATTATATGCTAAATATGCAATATGTGATAAATGAGACATCCCACTTCCTGTCCTTATTCCCTGACATTTCATTTGCTTACTAACACATTCTGTACATGGTAAGGAAATCTTTTTCAGTGTAAATAAAATGTGGATTGAATTCCATCCTTTGCAGCACAGCCTGTTAGTCCTGTTAGTAGAGATTATTGACGTCGTTCTGTCACCTGAGGACACCCACAGACAATTGAAGCATTTAAATGTGGTTCAGAAAGGCTTTGGAGGTTGTGTGGTCACAGTACACAGCTGTACTAATGTTCATGGTTTGTCAAGTTGCTGTGATGTCTTTGACTTTCACCGTGCAGTCTTCACAGTTCTGCTGGTGGAAGACCTGCGACAGGAGCTGGAATGAAACACACAGGTTACATTTGTTACACGTGTGGGGGTTATGACGACATTACAACATGATGTAAGATGTATTTTACAGATGTTTGTACTTACCCTGGACACCGCCTGTGAAATCAAATCTTCATTGTCGTCATTTGACAGCACAGAAGCTTTAAGATAAACTTTCCATGACGCGTAAACTGAAAGAAATAACAGAAGTACACATGCACATTATTATGTCTTTGTAATAAACAGTACTATGAGTACTACTAGTACTTTTCTGACTGTCGTAGCAAACTGGGACAGTGCACAAATGAGTATGAGAGTGTGTATACTCCCACCTGCTGGTGAGGAGGTGCCACTGCTCGTATGATCACTAGCGCCGATTTCAGACTGTGATGTTCCTCCTGTAAAAAGGACAGATAATTGGATAAAAACAATAAAACGTCATTCATTGGCCAGGCCTTGACTGGTTAGAGAACACAATGATTGAATGGCTGACCTGTTGATATGGAAGGAGTGAGTCCATAATCCTCTGTAGATGTGTAAATGTGACTGTCTGCAGTAGTTGTTAAAGCTGTCTGTGTTGTAGTCGAAGAGACTGTTGATGCTGAGGTGGTGATTGTTTGTGCTGGTGCAGGTGTTGTGTTAAAGTCTGGTGTGGTTGATGCTGGGAAAAATGTCTCTGAAGATGCAGTAGTGTTCGGTCGGTTTGTCGCTGTCGAAGCACTGACAGTGGATGATGAAGTTGTGTTCTCATCTGGAGATGTCGCTGTAGAGATGCTGCTACTTGTTGTAGTAGTTGCTGCTGTTGGAGTGTCTGTGGAAAAGGTTGGAGATGTGCTTCTGGCTGTACTGCCTCTGGTTGTGAGTGTAGTGGTTGCAATAGCTGTAATAGTCAAGACCTTTAGTCAATATCATATTTTAGTCAGAAAAATAAAACTCATAATTGTTTCAGTTAAATGTTGTATTCCTCAATTAGTGGACACCAGTGGTTCTCAACCTTTTTTTGGCATGTGGCATGCGATTATACTGTGTTGCAAATACAGTATAATCGCATCAAATACAAATAAGGTACAGTCTTAGTTTAGATCCCAGGGTTTTGAGCCAGAGTAACGGTCAAAGAAGCAGGATTAAGTCCAACTATAATACTTAATAAAATAAAGTTGTCAGGGAGTTAAGTTTGAGTTTTAGTCTCCAGTCGTGCACTTAAAGAAACACATCAACACCGTCCTCACATGTGCATGTTGATATGTAGTCGTCACAGCAGTCAAGGAACGACATGCAGAACTGGTCACAGAAACATCCTCTGTAACAGGTCAGGTTTTGACCTGAGCAGCACAGCGCTGGTGGTCCTGCACAGCCTGGATCACACATTACATTCACAACTCAATGAAAGATTTTGCACCTGCTAAAAATGCAAAAAAGTATGTAAACATGTATGTGTTTTCACTGACAGACGGTAAAAGTATGGTTTAGATGTGCAATAAAAATATAGGAAAATAGCTAAAAAATACACCTAAAAGCTGTGGATATTACCTGTTTTTGCAGTAGTCGAGGTTGTTGTCTGTGCTGAAGAGTTGATGAAAAGGTGACACATCCAAATTATTAGAACAACCATTTTAAGGATCATAAGATTTTGCCCAAAAAACAATGTCGTAAAGCAGTCTTTGGCACTGACGACTTGCAAAATGGGTCATAATGCAGTCTTTCTTTATCCTGAGAGGTTATCCTATACTAGGATATGTAAAAGGAGCTGAGTAACAGATGCAAATGTCTATTTCTGTATAGACGTTAACTGTTGAGTTTTAGCTCAGCTTGTATTCAACAATTTGTGTTATATTAAAGTGAACAGTATTTATTAACTTATGAAGTTTCATCTTATAAATAAATACTAAGCATTATCATGATTAAGGCACTGATCCTACTCTCCATGCCTTTTTATAAGTGATACACATGCAGACACTGGCAGCATTGGCCCTGATAAATGACACTCACTGAGGCGTAATTTGAAAACACGGAAGGTGGTTGTTGTTGTTTGCGCTTCGCACGGCATCTGTAATAAACAAGGTCTAAATATAAAACTAAGAGCCCATTGGCAATAACCTTAAAGTCACTGGCAGTACATTTTTGAATAGAGAGTGACATTAAAGTGATGGTCATTACTCTCTGGAACAATCCTATTATCTGAGTCATTTACTCAAGTTTAATAATTTAGCATGCACTGTTGAAAAGATAAACAAACAAAAATCAAATTCTCACATTTAAGCTACATTAAACTTTGCCACTGCATCTAAGGCCAAATCTTAGGGTTGGGAGTGTTGTACATTTTTACATGTTTAATCTAAAATGTATTCAAATGTAAAAACAAAAAAAAGTACAAATCATTTTCTTACCCTCACTAAGAGGCAGCAGCTCAGACAAGAGGAAGACGCAAAACACAAAGCAATCCATGACACTGAGTGACTTCCTGGAGTGGCTAAAGTTTACTTGTACTTGAGCTGTACTTGAGCACACACACACGCAAAAACTGAGCTCCTATTGTCTTTTGAACAGGGGAAATACCTTGCCATTACATTCCAGTATTAAATTACAGAACTCGTGTCTTTTTGTTCTTTCTTTTGTTTCTCCTGCTCTACTGGTTTGTGCCGTCAGATTGGAGATATGAGGTGTATGTGACTGACGAATAAGTGTCTAGACAGCAGGGGACCTCAATGTAACCACAATTTTGTCACAACATAATTGAAAACAATATCTACAATGTGAAGTATAAAACAATGACTAAGTACAAACAAACTTCCTGATATTCCTTTATTCCAGTCAATGTGTACAGAAGTGTTCTCATTACACACTATTGTACTGTTCAATAGACAGTCTCTGTATCACGGAGAGATTATCTTACACCTAATATAATCTCTTTGGGATAAATAGCATTGCTTAGCAAAGGCAAAATGGTAACACAGATTAGTGTATCTCTAGAATCTGTCATACAAACCCAAAATAGATAATTTGAAATAAAGCTTAACTTATGAGAAATTAGACTGAATTAAAAAGGACAGAGTATGAAAAGTGAATCTTATTTGTCCTGAAAAGGATGAGAAAGAAAGATGGAAACACCCCAATCTACACCTGCCAGCTTTCTCCAAACTCTTGTATGTTCCTGGCCCTGGAACCGTCCGGCTTTATCTGGTCGTTCCTCATTTGACCATCAAAGTTCCCGCAAAGACCTCCTACTCTCCGTTTATATATGTGTGGCAGGGTAATTTCTGTGGAAATACCATGAATACCATCAGATTACACCAACAGAAAAATAATTCACATTTCCATGCTTAGGTGTGAAAAAAATGCATTTATTTACACGCTACTACTTATTTTGATATAATATATTGAGCTAAGTGACCATCACTAAACCAGTGATTCCCAACCACTGTGCTGCAGCATATTAGTGGGCAGTGAAAGACCAATGTAAATTATGCAGATTCATTTATTTGGTTTGAATGCAATTATTTATTTACTGCTAATAATGTGTCTTTGTTTGGCTATGACAGTGACAGACTGACCAACTATGTACTCTTCCACTAGGTGGCAGCAGGAGTCTATAATAACTGAAGAAAGAGAGAGACTCAGGGCTGCTCAAGATCTTTGTATGTCTCCAATTCCTGTGAGAGAATCAACTCATTATAATTATATTTTATTACATGTCTGCCAGTTCCATGGGAATTTTTTTTTCTATGTGCCGTAGCTCAGAAATAGTTGGAAAACACCAGCTGAAACTACAGTAGTAACATGTATTTACCAGCTTTGTTGCGTCCGTCAAACTCCACTGTGAGTCCAAAGTCAGTCCTCAGGTACATCCGAGAGGAGCGCACACTGAGGCTCAGACCTGGACTTGGTGAGGCGGGCGTTTTAGTTTTTCTTCCATCCACCTGGAGGTTGATAAAGAAAGAGTTGAAGAAGAAATTACATCAATTTTTACATAGGAAATAGTATAGACTCGCATTTTAGAATTATTGTTGTCGTTGTGACAAGCTTCCTTTCAGCCAGTTATCAAAAGGCAACTTTCAGTTGAGCTCTCAGCTGTTAGCTAGGTGGCGGTCATTGTGAATCCTACATCTTTCCTGCTCTGTATGGTATTGTGCTGCAAATGATTTTTCTCTTACTTGTAGGAAGCAGGCATCTATTATTCTCAAAATCCTTCAACAGAAGCTATGCCATGCTGCGTCTGCTACTTCCTTATAGACCAGGTAAAACAATATGACAGGTGTGCAGAACTTTTGTTAAAGACGCCACTGATACTTACATACAGTTTACGATTCTTCTTTAACTCCACAGTGTGATTGTAAACGACGACCTTAAGCTCTTGGAGCTTGTAACGACTGCCTTCATTTTTACTGTCAGCATCACGTGTTTCATCACTGTTGTCTTCATCTTCATCATCTACATCTTCATTGTCAACTATGCGACTTTCTTCACTACTGTTGTTGTCATGATCCTCTTCACTATCTTCATCACTTTCTTCTGGCTCTGAGTTGACACCAACAATGTAGACATCTGGAAGGTTGTTTGGCAAGTTTTTGGTCCGGACCAGAACATACGAATGGTCTCCCCTGAAGTTGTGCTTCATTTTATCAAAGGTTCTGTACTCGGGGTCTGCTCTTACACTACATTCACTGAAGTCTGTTGATAAACAAATGTTAAGCAAATGAATGCATCTTGTTGAATACTGTACATAGAGTAGGTTCCAAAGTAAGAACAGAAGTGTTTGCTTCTGCAGTACCTGTAGACTTGCAGTAGTAGTCACCCATGTCATTTTGGAGGCATATTTCATCTCCTTCACAATTCTCGTCATCATCACATTCGATCTCACCTAAACCGTCATCTTTTTCACATTCGCATTTCTCCTTGCAGTGGTCAGTGTACCAAATGTCATTAAACTGATGAAGAGAGAAAGGTCAACAAGGTCATCAAGGTTAGCAAGTTCATCAACGTCAGGTGTCAGTTTTAATGCTGTACACATTTTGCATTTTTCATATTAACACCAATATTTAATCTATTTTAATACATTTTTTAATCAGCAGGCTCTCACCTGGTGTTTGTTGCCGTCATGATCAACACAACCACACTCTCTAATGGGTACACAACGCCAGAGTTTCTGCACAAACCCATTATTACAGACACATCCTGGTGCACAGCTGTCGTTGTTCTTGCAATTTGGAGGGCCGTTTAGGTTTGCACAGGTCGGACTGCAAGCAGGGACGCATGTGGTGTAGTGACTGTTCTTTGGACAAGAAGGTGCTGGAAGTTAGCAAATAAAATAAACGTATTATACAATTGCAGGAATAAGATCAAAGTAAGAAAGAAAAAAATTGAATATTTGTTGGATTCATTGATATTTAGAGATAATTTAAAATCTTGTACTTGGAAGAGCTGTAGTAGGTGGTCTGGCTGTAGTGGTTGGTGGACGTGGTCTGGCTGTAGTTGTTGGTGGACGTGGTCTGTCTGTTGTTGTTGGAGGACGTGGCCTGTCTGTCGTTGTTGGAGGATTTGGTCTGCCTGTTGTGGTTGGAGGACGAGGTCTGGCTGTAGTTGTTGGAGGACGTGGTCTGGCTGTAGTGGTTGGAGGACGTGGTCTGGCTGTTGTGGTTGGAGGACGAGGTCTGGCTGTAGTTGTTGGAGGACGTGGTCTGGCTGTTGTGGTTGGAGGACGTGGTCTGGCTGTTGTGGTTGGAGGACGTGGTCTGTCTGTTGTGGTTGGAGGGCGTGGTCTATCTGTTGTGGTTGGAGGACGTGGTCTGACTGTAGTTGTTGGTGGACGTGGTCTGTCTGTTGTTGTTGGAGGACGTGGCCTGTCTGTCGTTGTTGGAGGATGTGGTCTGCCTGTTGTGGTTGGAGGACGAGGTCTGGCTGTAGTTGTTGGAGGACGTGGTCTGTCTGTTGTGGTTGGAGGGCGTGGTCTATCTGTTGTGGTTGGAGGACGTGGTCTGGCTGTAGTGGTTGGTGGACGTGGTCTGGCTGTAGTTGTTGGTGGACGAGGTCTGGTTGTAGTTGTTGGAGGACGTGGTCTGGCTGTTGTGGTTGGAGGACGTGGTCTGGCTGTTGTGGTTGGAGGACGTGGTCTGGCTGTAGTGGTTGAAGGACGTGGTCCCAACTGTAGTTGTTGGAGGACGTGGCCTGTCTGTCGTTGTTGGAGGATTTGGTCTGCCTGTTGGGGTTGGAGGAGGTGGTCGGGCTGTTGTTGTTGGAGGACGGGGTCTGGCTGTAGTTGTTGGAAGGTGTGGTCTGTCTGTTGTGGTTGAAGGACGTGGACTGCCTGTTGTGGTCGGAGGATTTGGTCTGCCTGTTGGGGTTGGAGGAGGTGGTCGGGCTGTTGTTGTTGGAGGACGGGGTCTGGCTGTTGTTGTTGGAGGACGGGGTCTGGCTGTAGTTGTTGGAAGGTGTGGTCTGTCTGTTGTGGTTGGGGGACGTGGACTGCCTGTTGTGGTTGGGGGGCGAGGTCTGGCTGTAGTTGTTGGGGGGCGGGGTCTGGCTGTTGTTGTTGGTGGACGTGGTCTGTCTGTTGTTGTTGGGGGACGTGGCCTGTCTGTCGTTGTTGGAGGGTTTGGTCTGGCAGTTGTGGTTGGGGGGTTTGGTCTGCCTGCTGTAGTTGTTGGAGGGGGTGGTCTGTCTGTTGTGGTTGAAGGACATGGACTGCCCGTTGTGGTTGGAGGGTGTGGGCTTTCTGTTGTGGTTGGAGGGGGTGGGCTGGCTGTTGTGGTTGGAGGGGGTGGGCTGGCTGTTGTGGTTGGGGGACGGGGTCTGGCTGTAGTTGTTGGTGGACGTGGTCTGTCTGTTGTTGTTGGGGGACGTGGCCTGTCTGTCGTTGTTGGAGGATTTGGTCTGGCAGTTGTGGTTGGGGGGTTTGGTCTGCCTGCTGTAGTTGTTGGAGGGTGTGGTCTGGCTGTAGTGGTTGAAGGACGCGGTCTGGCTGTAGTGGTTGGAGGACGAGGTCTGTCAGTTGTGGTTGGAGGACGTGGGGTGGCTGTTGTGGTTGGAGGAGGTGGGCTGGCTGTTGTGGTTGGGGGACGTGGTCTGACTGTAGTTGTTAGAGGACGTGGTCTGTCTGTCGTTGTTGGAGGATTTGGTCTGCCTGCTGTAGTTGGTGGGGGGTGTGGTCTGGCTGTTGTGGTTGGAGGAGGTGGGCTGGCTGTTGTGGTTGGGGGGTTTGGTCTGCCTGCTGTAGTTGTTGGAGGGTGTGGTCTGGCTGTAGTTGTTGGAGGACGCGGTCTGGCTGTAGTGGTTGGAGGACGTGGTCGGTCTGTTGTTGTTGGGGGACGTGGCCTGTCTGTCGTTGTGGGAGGATTTGGTCTGCCTGTTGGGGTTGGAGGAGGTGGTCGGGCTGTTGTTGTTGGAGGACGGGGTCTGGCTGTTGTGGTTGAAGGACGTGGACTGCCTGTTGCGGTTGGAGGACGTGGTCTGACTGTAGTTGTTAGAGGACGTGGTCTGTCTGTCGTTGTTGGAGGATTTGGTCTGCCTGCTGTAGTTGTTGGAGGGGGTGGTCTGTCTGTTGTGGTTGAAGGACGTGGTCCAACTGTAGTTGTTGGAGGACGCGGTCTGGCTGTAGTGGTTGGAGGACGTGGTCTTTCTGTTGTGGTTGGGGGGCGGGGTCTGGCTGTTGTTGTTGGAGGACGTGGCCTGACTGTAGTTGTTGGCGGGTGTGGTCTGTCTGTTGTGGTTGGTGGATTTGGTCTGCCTGCTGTAGTTGGTGGGGGGTGTGGTCTGGCTGTTGTGGTTGAAGGACGTGGACTGCCTGTTGCGGTTGGAGGACGTGGTCTGCCTGTAGTGGTTGAAGGACGCGGTCTGGCTGTAGTGGTTGAAGGACGCGGTCTGGCTGTAGTGGTTGGAGGACGTGGTCGGTCTGTTGTTGTTGGGGGACGTGGCCTGTCTGTCGTTGTGGGAGGATTTGGTCTGCCTGTTGGGGTTGGAGGAGGTGGTCGGGCTGTTGTTGTTGGAGGACGGGGTCTGGCTGTAGTTGTTGGGGGGCGGGGTCTGGCTGTTGTTGTTGGTGGACGTGGTCTGTCTGTTGTTGTTGGAGGACGGGGTCTGGCTGTTGTGGTTGGGGGACGTGGTCTGGCTGTTGTTGTTGGAGGACGTGGCCTGTCTGTCGTTGTGGGAGGATTTGGTCTGCCTGTTGGGGTTGGAGGAGGTGGTCGGGCTGTTGTTGTTGGAGGACGGGGTCTGGCTGTAGTTGTTGGTGGACGTGGTCTGTCTGTTGTTGTTGGAGGACGGGGTCTGGCTGTTGTGGTTGGAGGGGGTGGGCTGGCTGTTGTGGTTGGAGGATGTGGGGTGGCTGTAGTTGTTGGAGGAGGTGGTCTGACTGTAGTGGTTGGAGGGTGTGGTCTGTCTGTTGTGGTTGGAGGATTCGGTCTAGCTGATGTGGTTGAATGTAGTTCATCTGTGGTAGTTGACTGATTTGGTTTAGGGGTAGTTGATGAAGGTTGCGTTCTTGCTGTTGTTTCCATGTCTGTTACATCTGTAGTTGCAGTGTTTGGTGATACTGTAGTTTCAGGGTATGGTAGTTCTGAGGTTTCAGGTGTCTCCTGGTCAGTGGTTATTGATAGTCCTGGTGTTGTTGATAGTTTATCAGGTGTCACTGATGGATTGCTTGCTGATGGGACGTTTGTAACAGGTGTAGTTCTTTCAGACAGTTCTGTAAGAACATTTCACATTATTGTCTGGCACAAAACGGCTCACATTTCTAACCTGTTCAATCTGCTCATTTCAAAACTACCTTCACAGTGTCCACGACGAAGAGATATATCATCTATGGCCACATCAGACTGTTCATTGGAACCTCTGCGCCCTTCAAAAATGATCTATTAAACAACACAGAAGTTAATCTTAAAGCACAGAATGTTACAAGATTGCAGTAATGTGGGCCTTGTCTGTAAGTACTTTCATCGATTTCTGTGATAACTTGCCTGGAAAGCTCCAGATGTACTGAAGTCCACCTGAGCTAAGTTCCACACATTTCCCTGGTCATTCCTTTTCAGCCAAACAGCATTTGCCGTTCTGTTCTGGACCAGGTAAACCTGAAGGCCCATTGTATCCCCTGAGCCGTGCATATGGTACCAGAACTGCAGACACTGAGGACCTGGGTCATAACACTCAGGGCTGATGAGACGAGCAGTGTCTCCGTGGGTTGCACCACTGGCCTCGATGTACAGGTAATGACCACCTTATCCAGAGAAGTGAACCATTATGTTGTGACTAAATTCTTTTTTAGCTGTATATCTGAGTATTTGGATTGTCAAGAGCATATTACCACCAGTGTGGTCAGCAGAGGGCCCAGTCATCTGGGTAGGTGTGGAACCAAGGTGCCATTTCCAGTCAATTACATCAGTCATCATCTGATTCCAGTTACAAAGGTCTCTGTCGAAGCTACAGTCAAAATTACAGCCTGAAGGAAAAGATGATTCCATTAGGTTTCATAAAATTAGAAATCTTCCGGTGACACTGGAAACTACATTCTGCAGAAATATGACTAAGCTTAGATGTTAATCAGTAACAAAGTATCAGTTTTTTTATATAAAGCCATAAAATGTCTAATGTAAACTTACTTGAGTGGAAGCCTGCATTTCTGGGTGGAACCACCATATCACCAGGTACTCCAGGAAATCCTTCTGAAGGAGACAAGTATGTTTTTTTTTAAAAAAAACAAGCACATTGTTTAAGGAGCATTCATTAATGACAATTAATTAACAGTTAATTTACATACGGCAGATTGTGGAGTTCCTCCACTTGGGTACAGTGACTCCAGCCTCCTCGCAGACAATACTGTAGGCCTGTAATGTCTCACACAGCACTGCAGGGTCACCATGGGTGGAACACATACTGAGCAAACAGCCCCTAAAATAACTCTCTGATCCTAAGGCTAACTGGCAATCTGCAAAAGGTCCAGTCCTGGATAGAAGGAGCCCACAGCGGGCCTGACTGGTATACTCAGCCTTCTCCTGTGGGTCACAGTCATGAGGAACCTGAATAGTTTCACAGAAGGAGGTGCTTGGCCCAGTCTGCCAGCTCTCAGCTAAAGCTGTAGCATCAGGAGCCAATATCCCACCAGGCATTTGAAGGTCATCTCCTCCAAAGTGGTTGAAGTTTCCACACAACCCACAGACCTTGTCAGAATATTTGGATGGCAGTTCAACATGTACAGCACCGGCGTTGTCAAATGAGACTTTCAGACCAAATGCAGTCACCAGTACAACAGAGGCTGGATTGCTGTTGATCCTGATCTGGCCACCATTGAGGTTCAGTGGAAGGTTTCTCCATACTCCATTAACCTGAAGAAGAGTAGATGTTTACACATTTGTTGACAGCAGCATTTGATTAGGTCTTAACAGATTGTATGAATTGCAGCCTAGAGATAGTGTGGAGGTACTTTATCTTTAAGAACTGATAAAAATGATAGATTAGACATATTGACATATGGAATGTAAAATATAATATAGTATATGATATAGTTAGTTATTTATTATTTGTTAGTTATTATAGTTTTTGACTTGTACTAAAGGTTCAACAGCAAACTTTGACGTCGACTGTACTGTTGTTATTAGTGAAGTCGGCGCTTTGATTTAACACTTCATCTCAGGGATCATTTTATGACCTAATACAATAAATTTCTTACATAATGCACTGCACCTTTAAAGGCTGCATTTCATGATAAAATTTGTTTATCAGGGCTACAGATGACCTTCCTGATGCTGGCAGAACTGAAATCCAGGCTCCTTAACAATAGAGAAATATTCTGAAGGTTTAGAGTAGAAGTTTGAATGTATATTCACTGTTGGATAAAAATGTATTTGGTTATTGTTGTCTTTATTACAAAAAACTTTGACTTTGGTGATTAGTTCGTAAAAGATAATGGCAGCAAACTAATTGCATCCGGTCAATCTCAGTTTGTAATACTGCTTGGTATTTGATGTTTTTATTTGGTAAAAAGTGACTCACCACCACCCGTTGTGTCTGCCATTTCAAAAAGGACACTCTGAAGTTCTGTGTCTCCACATTAACCTGCTGGATGGATGACTGTGATGAGATCCCTTCCGGTGCATTCACCACCTCCACGCTAAACTCGGACAGAGCATCGCTGCGTGAGCAGGTCGTGGCCAGCAAGTAGGTGCAGGCGGAGATGAAGCGAAAGAACACTCCATCAAAGGTACTGAACTCTGTGTGACTGTGTATCGTACACATCCCAGTGGCGGTGGTCTCAGTGGAGACTTTGCTTTGAGAACCACAGATTTGTCCCTGTGGGCATCGAGAGGGGAAACAGGAGAACTGGCCCCCAGAACAGGTGCAGAGCGTGAACTCATCTGTCCACAACTCTGTGTTAGATTCACACTGAGGTCCTGTGGGGAAAATGACCACGTAAACATTTGCTCTATAACCAAAAGTCAGCTAACCATGATTAGTTAATACTAAAATTCAACACCTCTTTATTTTTATACATCAGTGATGTTGAGACTAAAATTATGAATGATTTGTAGAGAACATCATAATTTGACAAGATGATGAAACCGAGGACACAAGTCAAGGTCACATTGTCCTCAAACACGTTCTGATCCAGCATACACTGAATGTGGCATTTCACCTCAACATTGAAAATTCAATAAGATTAAATATGAGATTGTGTTTTTTTAGTTTTACTATTGAACAGAGAACATTAAATAAGTGCAGTATCATTATATAGTCCTATGGAAGCTAAATTCTAAGGAGAAGAAATGCTGTTAATGGTTGAGTAACTTACTTTCAGCACATTTTGCAATTCATCAGCTGACTGTATTCTTAAAAAGTGATCATTCAGCCTTATTATTAGTACAGCAAAAGAAGAGTCAGTGCATTCTCACCACACAAGCCTCTTCTTACGCCAATGCGGTCGAATGAAATCTGACCCTCAGGTGATGTGGCTTCGAGCACAACCTAAAAAATGTAGGATATTGTTTTAAAAAAAAGACTTTCATGCAACTTTGCATTGTGAGTCTGTGATATTTAACCTGTGTCTGTGGTGTGATTGTAAGAGGGACGAACACTTGTCTCCATGAG